GCCTTTTTGCATTTCGTCTTCTTGGGGATGGTTTTGATCACTGCCTCCTGTACAATGTTACGAACCTCAGTCTCTGGCTCTTTCGGCACTATATCTGTTAGCTCTAATCCCTTGAGTCTATTTGTCACTTCCAGTGTATAATTATAAGAGATTTGATTTAGGTCATATCTGAATGGCCTAGTGGTTTTCTCTTCTTCAATTTAAGTCTGAATTTTGCAATAAGGAGTTTGTGATCTGAGCCACAGTCAGCTTCTAGTCTTGTTTTTTTCTGACTGTATAGAGCTTCTCAGTCCAGCTGCAGAGAGTATAGTCAGTCTGATTTCGGTGTTGACCATCTGGTGATGTCCACGTGTAGAGTTGTCTCTTGTGTTGTTGGAAGAGGGTGTGTGCTCTGACCAGTGTGTTCTCTTAGAAACATGCTGTTAGCCTTTGCCCTCTTCATTTTGTTCTCCAAGGCCAAACTTGCTTGTTACTAAAGGGAACTCTTAACTTCCTACTTTTGCATTCTAGTGCCCTGTGATGAAAAAGACATCTTTGTTTGGTGTTAGTTCTAGCAGGTGTTGTAGGTCTTCATAGAACCGTTCAACTTCAACTTCTTCAGCATTACTGGTTGGGGCATAGACCTGGAATACTGTGATATTGAATGGTTTACCTTGGAAACGGACAGAGATCATTCTGTATGTTCCTTGAGCCTTTTGATGTCATTGCCTAGAAGAAGGAATTATTGCTTAAGTGGCTAATGATTACTGAAATTATTTTAAAAAAAAAAAAACAGTCCAGCTCCAGGCACTTGATGCGGACTTTTGGAGAAAATGTAGACTATATAGGAAATGAAAGACAGTAATTTGCCCTTTCTGACTTGGGGTAAACAGTAAGAACCAGTAGAGCTGGATCCCCAGAAGGAGCAGCCCAAGGTGTGGTCGTGGATAGACAGACTGGTCAAAGGCTGAAGCAGCACACGGTCCAGGCTCCTTCAACCAAGATGTCCCTTGTGGTCTGGGCTCTCCCTCCTCCTCAGCGTCGTAGCTGAGCTGGGAAGACCCAAAGAAAGGCCACAAAGAGTTGTGGCCAAGTTCTTTAATAAAATATTGCAGCAAAACTATTAAAGCTGTTCTATCTGGACAAACTAAGTCTGATAAAGAAGTGAGAATCAAGTATCTTTGAATGTTAAAACTCAAGCATGCTGAAGCTTTGTTGAGGTCTGTTTTATATAGGGGTGGTAAATGCATGGAGCTTTTATTTGAAAGGTGAAGTATGGGCTGAGGATAGAAAGCGCTTGCTGAGGGTTTGGGTTCCCGCTGTGGGTCACTAATAAATTGAGGCTAAGGAAGGATGTTGAGCAAGCACATTGCTAACATTTACCATTTGATGTTATAAAGGAAAAAGTCTAAATCTGCTTCCTTGGCAGGATCCTTGGGTTTGTATTACCAATAGTCACTGGGGCCACTTTCAGAGACCAGTCACCCAGCACTGGACTGAATCAATCATGCAATTTCTTAAGTTCTTCCCAAGAGTTGGCAGGAATCTGGATCAGTTCCAAGACTTCAGTAGGAGGGTTCCAAAACTCCAGGATGATTAGGTCCAGGGTCCTCTGGTTACCTGAATCTGCTTTTTCAGTATAAATTAAAATCCCAGTGTCAGCATTCTGTGTGTTCAGCAGGGTGGCAGGCAAGCAGCAAGCATGGTAGGTGCTACCTGCCCTCGGCCGCTGGCATCCCCCAGCTGCCCTGAAGACTTTGCAGATCCGGCCGGCTGAGCCCTCTTCTGTGCCCATAGCTTTACCAGACAGGCAGTGGGCTCTGGAGACCCGTCGGCGTGTAACTCACAAAGTTACACAGAGGTGCTGGGGGGGGGACCCTTAGGTCAAGAAAGGGAATCTGTCATCATCAGTCTCAGAAATTAACTTTGTATAACCTTTATTTGTGGCCCACCTAAGTGGGCCTACATATCATTCTTCGTTCACTTGCTCAGGTAATTTGGGGGTCATGACCTCATTCTTGCCACCACCCACTGTTAAGCCAGTGGTAACATTACGCCCCTATCCCCCGCAGGGCACGTAGCTGCTAGCATCGTTCTCTGCTGGAGGCTGCAGAGAGCAAGAGCTGCCTGCGGAGCTCATGCCGCTTCTCACCTCCTTCCTCCTTCCTGGCAGGATCCCACGCTGGGCAAACCACCAAACTACGGCTGGAGCTAGGCCTCTGCCAGTGGAACATCCAGGACCGCATTGCTACCAGGAGTCCCCGTGAGACTCCAGGTCCCAGGAATTGGGCACTCAGGCAGAGGGGCAGGTGTCCCAGGGCACCCCAGAGCCAAGAGTGCAGCCAGTACCTTAACATCTGTAGAGCTCAATAAACAAATATTAGAGTATGGAGTGAGTAATACGCATGTCATATGTGGGTTTAAAACAGGCTTTGCCTCCCAAAGAGGCATTGTTTCCATTCTGTGTAGGACTTTTAAAAGCTTCTTTTCTGCTAGTAACAAATAGGTTGACTCTAGCGTTTTCTACCCTGCTAGTAGTTACCAAGAATATCGGAAGACACTCCTAAAGGAATAGTTTCTTAAAGCTCTAATAGGACTCTTTGGGCCCCAAGTAGAAGCTGGAACAGTTCAGAAAGCCCTGTTCTCGTGGCATATCCCCATCTCCCTGGCCAGGGGACTCTGGTGCTGGTGCAGCATAGCCTTGAAACTCAAAAGGCTTCATCCCATGGCTGAGATAGCTCCTGTTACAGGAGCCACACTTGATTTGCCAGGTTTTCCATTCTGGAAGGAGGCCTTTGTTGGAATTGTCTCTGAGGACTTAGGGCCAAGGAAACAACAGCCTATTTATGGCAGAAAGGAAAATAGTGAACTGGGACAAGGTGATTGCAGTTATCAACAGCAGAAAATTATAGAAGGAGGTAGAAGAGTATCCTGAAAAATAATTTTTCTTAGGAAGTGTACAATTTAAAGAGGCATTTATCTAAAACATGTCATCTCTTTAAGGGTATCAGAACTCAGCAATTTGATGTGGTTTGTTCAGTAAGATGGAGGGAGGGATTGTCACATGATTTTGTTTATTTTCTAGGGTTTGTTTTTCTCTTGGAGAAGTTAAGTTTCATTGGTTTTTTCAGAGCTTGAGACTTGTCCATATGCACCTTAGTTAAGGCAGAACTATTAACTAGATTTTCTTCTCAGTAATCCACACAAATCTCCAGCAGCCTGAATCAGAATCTCAGGTTGATTCCTGCTTATCAGGCCTCCTCTGATGTCTTTCTTTCCACTTTCTCTCTTCCCTTCCCTTGAGTCTTCTCTCTGCCTAGGCCTCCTCTAAAACTCCTTGACTGCTTACTGTTAAATCTGCTAGGTCATTGCATTGTTGTTGAACATTTGCTCTGCTTTGTGCTGTGTTGGACTTTGGTCTTGTTTTATGATCCACAGCATTGCATTCTCCTTTTCCAAGATATAAATGTTTACTAAATCCACGTTCTCCTCCCTGTTGATGTAAGCAAATCTGAGCCTGGCACCAAAGATGACAGTATAAAAACAGAGTAATATTAATGAATTCCTGTAGCTTTCCTTCTTCCAGCTTGTTTCATCTGTGTTCTTTTCCTTTAATTCAGGTACGTGGGCAAAGACTACTCTGCTGCTCAAGAATTAATGGAAGATGAGATGAAGGAGTACTACAGTAAGAATTCTAAGGTCACCCCAGTACAGACTGTGCAGGTTGGCCAGCTGCTGGCTGTAAATGCTGAAGAGGATGCTTGGTTACGAGCACAAGTCATTTCAACAGAAGAGGGCAAGATAAAGGCAAGCATTATGAAGACAAGCACATTATTTTTCAAATGAAAATATTGCTTCTAATATTGTATCCTCGAACTGTATTTAGTTTCCTCCAGAAGTTAAAAAGATAATATCTGTTAAAAAAAATAATAATAATTATCCCTGTCAGCTTTTAAGTCAGTGGTAGTTATATTATCTTAGAGTTTTAGTTTAAACAAAGAAGAAAACTCTTCTCCAGTGGAATACCATAACCATGATGTAATTAATCAGAAAAAACAGACAAACAAACCTGTATTCCTATTCCTCAGGGTTACCTAATGAATACTGATCAGAGCTCTGTGGGCTTCTTATCAAGGTCAGTACTTGGAAATGAGGGAAATCATACAGATTGGAAGAGATGACATTCTGTCCTCTCTTGCACAGCCAGCTGAGGGGAACCCCAGATAAGACTCGACTGTGCCCCAAGTCTTGCCCTCTTGGTCATCTCGGAAAGGTCAGAGGGCTCTTTCACTAGTCTCTTCCATCAGAGGCTCCAGTATTTCCAGACTTGGCTGTGTTCACAGTGACCAGCCCCTGCCCTTGCTGCCTTTTCTTTCCTTCACCTTAGAGACCCAGAATGAGAACTTGCTCATCAAGGCACCGTTTTGTCTAAACTTTGGAGATCAGGGTTAGCACATCTTAGAACACTTAGCACTGCAGGGGGTGGCAAGTCCAGATGCCTGGGACCCCAGTCAGTATGTGGCCCTGTCGCTGCTGTGTGTTTGGTGAGAAACCTGAGTGATCTCTGGATGATGGGGAGTAACTGTCCTAGATGTTAGCTCAGCTTCAGTCCACTTCCTGACTGTTTCCCTGCCCTTAGGAAGTTCAAAACTTAGCTGCCTAAAGGCACAGGGATCACTTATGAAGAGAAGAACCGTACAAACCCTGATGATATGTTAAGAGTGCGTCAGGGTTTATGATAAACACTGCAGATCCTCCACAAGGATATCCCCCAGTCTGAAATCTACAGGGCAAAAATCACTTGGGCCTCCCTTCCTTCCTTATCTCTGCTTTGGGAATTTAAACTCTGGAGTCAGTTAAACCTGAGTTTGAGTCCCAACTCTGCCACTTCTAGCTGTGTGACCTTGGGACTTCTCTGATTCCTTACCTATAAAATCAGACACTATCATCATGCTAGTATCTGCCTGTTATACTTTTCATTCTTTTTTTTCCATTGTCTTAGGGAAAGAGACAAGACTGACAAGGCTTGTCCTTGAGAAGCTTTTATGCTAGTAAAAGAAGACAGATAATGCACAAGTATACAATAAATGAAAAGGCAGTGAAAAGCAGTGAAGGAAATAACCAGGGTGCTGCAATAGAAAATAACTGTGAAGGAAGGGATAAGCAGGGAGATGTTATCTGGTTTATTTGCTTCAAAGGTTGTTCCAGTGCCTTTGTGGGGCATAGGTTGTCGTGTGGGGCATAGGTTGTAGTGTAGGGCAAAGATCAAAAGTAAGACCAGTTAGTTGGCTGTTGTAGTAGCTAGCAGTTGCAACCTGAATTATGGTGGAAAAGTGGAGCCAGAGGTAACAAGACAGACTCAGGATGTGTTTGGAGGTAGAACTGATAGGACACTAATTCTTTGGATGTGGAAGAGAAGAAAGGAGAAGGTTCAGGATGGCTGATGAGTTCAGGACTTGAGCAGCTGGGTGGATGGTCATGCCATTTATTGAAACTGGGAAGTCAGGGAGAAGAATCAATATATAGGAAAATCCAAGAATTTTGTAGGACCTGTTAGGTTTTAGAATAGCTATCTAATTTCACCTGGATGAGCCTGGAGCTCAGGGAGAAGTCAGAACCAGAGGCGGGGCATCGGCATATAGGTGCCACTTGCAGCCCTGGGACTGGGTCAGGTCACCTACAGGAAGAATCACCCGTAGAGCAGAGAAGGGGACCCAGAACCAGGCTCTGAAACACTTCAGCATTTAGATGGTGGGCATGAGAGGAGCAAAGGAGACTGTGAGAATGGCCGCAGAATGAGGAAAACCAAGAGGGCCATGTTACGGGAACCAGAGCACGGAAGTGCCTCATGGAAGGAAGACAGAGCAGGAAGCAGCCGGCTGTGTCATTGCTTCTGAGAGCCGTGGGCTTGTGTTAGGAATAAAAGGGGTAGCTTAGTGTGTTATAGATAGTAAGCTCTTTAAGATAGCAGTAGTTGTGGCAATCCTGGCCTGATCTTGTTCCCATATCCCCATGAACCAGACAAAGATGAATTTTACCCCTTACTAGGAGAAACACTAGCTACTCAACAAGTCTTGTTTCTCTTGACTTTTTCTATGCCTAACAGCAAGTATCCATTCCCTCCTTGATTTCCACAGATTTTGGTGAACATGAGAAACAGGAACTGGCCGTAACCCCTCAGGTTGGTGCCAGTTTTACCTGGTCCAGACCCACATCCCAGAGGTGTCTGCTGGTTATTACTCAGAGGGCACTGTGAGACCTGTGGCCACTTGAGGGAGCCAGAGAGCCAGGAATGGACTGGGGCCCGCCGCCAGGATAGTGAGCCTGCTTGTGCTAATCCAGGGGCTGAAGGGCAGAGGGCTGTGAGAGTCTAGCCGGACGTCCACAGGCAAATGTTTTATGAACTACAGCTGACATGCAAATACATGGTATTGTGATTCCAAAGAATAAAGAAAGAAAAGAAAAGCTTCAGAGTTACAGAAACCCTTTGAAGAATTTAGAACAGTATTCTTTTGTCTCTTGCTGCTGAGATTACATTCTGAATTGCCCAGGAATCATGATTTCACATATATGTTCTATTCTCAGAAAACGTTGTCTCCATTTTGGGCCTAGGAAGAGCAGAATCCAAGTTGTGGGTGATGATTACTATTAAAGGAAACAAAAGCTGCGTGAATCCTGAGGTTTTGGGGAAGGAAATGAAGGTGCTAATTTGGGGTTGGAGAAATTGCTGGCTGCAGTGTGGGGACCCTGCCAGGGATTGAGGCCTCAGGGAGCATTGAGTCAAAATATGAGCTCCAACAGATGATCCTTTTTAACCTGGGATACACAAGCCCCCAGCCCCAGTTATCAGGTAGCCAGGCAAAGACGTTAGTTGTCTCTCTATGCTTTTCTTCCTTAGATTCTCTGATGGGGGAGAGTTTTTGGTTTTTATACTTAATAGCAGAATCTCAGTACTCAGAAGCTGTGGACTTTATTTTACTGCAGAAAGCAAAACTCTATATTACTTGGTATTTCTTTGCCAAGGCTTTGCCCTGATTTGTTTTGTCTTGTTTTTGTAATAACTATCATCTGCTTTAATTAGAGAAGTGTACTAAATTTTCAGCACTTTCCCTCCTATTCCTAGGTGTCATTATAAATCAAAGCTTAAGTTTTCTAGATTTTATTTTTCTCCAAATGGAAAAAGTATTTGGTTATATAGTCCTTTTCAAATAAAGTTTTATTAATACACTAAACATACTGTCCAGGCTGTCAGTGTTGGTGATGAGAAAGCATCATGCAGGTTTCTGTAAACACAGAACTCTGTCCAGCAGACTTGGGATCTTTTCCTGAGCTGGATGAAAGCCTAACCCAGCTTCCCAGCCCTGAGAAAAAAGCAGAATTGTCTACTTTTACAGTGTAGGATTTCATGTTATCCAGCTGCAACATCCTTGCTGTCATGGACAACATCTCACTCTCTGGGAGCATAACAGCTGAGAGCAGGCCATCATAAGTGCTGCTTTGTGGGTACAGAATCTGACACATACCCCAGTGTGCACCTACTCTAGAAACAAATAATGGAGGGGTGTAAATCAGAAAAGAAGGAGGTGATGTAGGCATTATGATAGTAGGGCAAGAGTGGAGCAGCCAGCGATGGCAGAGCAGATACGTGTGCTGCTGACAAGCTGGTAACGGAAGGCATCGGAGCTCAGCAGTCTTCCCTCTGCTCCCTGTTGGCAAAGGAGCAAACTGAAGCCAATTAAATGCATCGTGAGTTTTTTTTTTTTTAAGAAGTAAGGATAAAGAATTTTATTTGAACCTAAACGTTGTTTCTGTTATCATTAGGTGTGCTATGTTGACTACGGTTTTAGTGAAAATGTTGAAAAGAGCAAAGCATACAGATTGAACCCGAAGTTCTGTTCACTCTCATTCCAAGCTACAAAGTGTAAGCTCGCAGGTAAAAAGAAACTTTTTTAAAAGAGCTCTCCACTTTGGTGTGTATTACCATTGTACTTTGGGGTAGTTAAATCCTAAAGCATACTAAGTATTTCCAGGTGTTAAAATGTGTTATTTCTTGAAAGGTATAAGTAAATTCATGTTTAATGTTCTCTCTATAGGATATGATCATTATAAAAATATTATAATGTTTTTATATATTTTTGTTGCATTATACATAACATGTGGGCTTCCCCCATAGCTCAGTTGGTAAAGAATCTGCCTGCAATGCAGGAGACCCAGGTTCGATTCCTGGGTTGGGAAGATCCCCTGGAGAAGGAAATGGCAACCCACCCCAGTATTCTTGCCTGGAGAACCCCATGGACAGAGGAGCCTGGCAGGCTATAGTCCATGGGGTCGCAAAGAGTCGGACACGACTTAGCAACTAAACCACCATTCAAACCACCACCATATATAACATAGAGCATATTTAGTGTTACTGTTTGGAAATCTACTGGACATCTGAGAGAGTTTGGTGGTTGCTGCCCTGACTGACCTAGCAGCAGCTCCTCGAGGCCCTGTGTCGTGGGATTTGCTCAGTTTAAATTGTGTCATCCAACCCGTTGTGATGTGAGTCCCAGCTTTCTTGCCGAGCTAGACTCTGCCGGTGCTGCTTATCGCCGTGGAGCACCCTCTCATGCCCTCAAGCATGAGCCTGGCTGTAGGTCGAGGTCAGTCTCTGGTACTATCAAGTACTTCTGCTCTTTTTTCCCCTCCTCGAGGAGGCATGGAGAAATGAATGTGTGTGAGGATGACGTGTCGGGATGGCCTAAAAGTATGGGGGACAAACATTAATGTTGAGGAATGGCATGGAAATATGTGTGCATCATGCAGGAGAGCTGGAGCTAGATTCAGAAAATGATCAAAATTGTTTTCATGAAAATTAGACCTGTGAAGAAATACCTTCTCCCAGCAGGGCTAAGTCTCTGTGTCAGAGGAGCTGGATTTGGCTCTGTCTGTGAGATACATCTTGAGTAACTTTAAAATCTTGTGACAAGCCTGTGGAAGTTAGTTTTGAAAAGAACATACCAGGAGCACAGGTGAAGATTTAGGATGCTGAAATGAAAGGTTTAATAGAAACTTAGCTATGGAAAGCAGGATAAGAACAAGAGAAAAGTAGGTCATAAGGAGGCTGTGAACTTTTGTTTATGGATTTAAAGGGGGAAAACATAGAAATAGACACTGTAGTACCATTGGGGAAGTGATGCCCTAGTTTAATTAGTTTAATAGATTAACTTTGAGTGGTCATATATATGATCTATGAAATTACAATTTTCTAAGAATAAAGAATAGTTAGACTATGATAAAATTTACCTAATACCCATATTACATTAAACAGTATTTAATATTTCTTTTATAAATCAGAAAGTTCTTTGGTATTCTTAGTGGCATCATGGTGTACTTGAAAAGAAGGGGGGGAGGCTGTCTAAATTTTCAATAAATGCATGTTTGTGAAAGAAATAATTGTGTATACTTACTTAGAAACTGAAAAAAAAAGCACCAAGGTTATACTTTTAAGGAGAATGTTACAAATCCATGACTATAACACATAATTGGTTGCTAATTTTTTATATGCATTAGTCTCTTTGTTTTAAATATGTGCTTGTATATAAAGTGAAGGCTATTTCTCCTAAGGTAGAAATTCAGATTGATCATCAACTTCTCTTCTTGCTGTAAGATTGCCTGCAAAAAAAAAAAAAGATTGACTGCAGCTAGTGTGATCATTCAAAAAGACTTTCACATTATAATGAATATTTTTAAACCTAAGGCTGGATACTACAAAGAAGTTTGTAAAACAAAGCTTCCCTATAAAATTTAAGAATTTTGTAGCAGATTCATAATTGTAATAAGTAGCCAGAATGAATACAATCAATGTATCTTAAAATGTTTCTTCTAATTAAATAGAAATTTAAATATTCAATATTTTTCAGGGTTGGAAGTTCTAAGTGATGATCCTGACTTAGTGAAAGTGGTGGAATCTTTAACTTGTGGGAAGATCTTTGCAGTGGAAATACTTGAAAAAACTGATATTCCACTGGTTGTTCTGTATGATACCTCAGGAGAAGATGACATCAACATCAATGCCACGTGCTTAAAGGCCATATGTGACAAGTCACTAGAGGTTCACCTTCAGGTACCACCGTGACCCCTGTTGTCTGTTCACACATATCACAGGAAAGAAATTCACCAGAATAGAATGTGGTACATTTTAGGCTAACATTAGATAGAGACGGAATACATATGTATTGAGAAAAAAGGATAGAGGGGAGTTAAAAGTCAGGGGAAATGCCAAAACATGAATAGTAATTGTTAAGAACTGGATTTTAATTTTATTTTCAAGTTCCTACAAGAGCATGTATTAATTTTATATGAAATTATTTTGCAAATATAAGGGAAGATAATTCAAAAGAAGGGAAAATTAGATCAGTGAAGATGTACATTGAATTGCTAGCTTTAACATTTTTAAAATGTAAAGGACATAGATGTCTGCAGGAAAGGACACCTTTAAATAAATTATGGAGCAGCCACTCTAAAGAATAGGATTAGGTGTTAAAAATGATTATTTTAGAAACTTCATAACAACATTGGGAAAATATTGTTTTAATAATTATCAATAGAACAACAGTGAATTGCCTTCATAGTTCATATTATGATTTGACTAAAAGTGGCTAAAATTAAACCTTTTCTGTTTTTTTAAAGTTACTAAAATTCACGTGGGCCATTGGCAAGGATTAGAAAGTAGACTAATAATGGGATTGATCTTTTGAGAGTTGTTTATTTTCATTTCTGTTAATGTTGCAAAAATATTTTTATAATAATTCTTTTTCTAAATTAATGGGACTAAGATCTTGGCATCCAGTCCCTTCCATGGCAAAAAGATGGGAAAAAAGTGGAAACAGACATTATTTTCTAGAGCGCCAAAATCGCTGCAAATGGCGACTGCAGCGACAAAATTAAAAGACGCTTGCTCCATGGAAGAAAAGCCATGACAAACCTAGTGTTAGCTGCTCAGTCGTGTCTGACTCTGCGAACTCAAGGACTGTAGCCCACCATGCTCCTCTGTCCATAGGATTCTCTAGGCAAGAATGCTGGAGTGGGTTGCCATTCCCTTCTTCCGGGGATCTTCCTGGCCCAGGGCCTGAACCTGGGTCTCCCACATTGCAGGCGGACGCTTCACTGTCTGAGCCAGCAGGGTTGTCTCAAACCTCGACAGCGCGTTGGAAAACAGGCAGCGCTTGGCTGACGAAGCTCCGTGTAGTCACAGCTGTGGTTTTTCCAGTAGTCATGTGCAGATGTGAGAGTTGGACCATAAAGAAGGCTGAAAGTGAAGGTGAAAATCACTCAGTCGTGTCCAACTCTTTGCAACCCCATGGACTATACAGTCCATGGAATTCTCCAGGCCAGAATACTGGAGTGGTAGCCTTTCCCTTCTCCAGGGGATCTTCCCAACCCAGGGATCAAACCCCGGTCTCCCACACTGCGGGCAGATTCTTTACCAGCTGAGCCACAGGGGAAGCCCAGAGAAGGCTGGGTGCCAAAGAATTGATGCTTTTGAATTGAGGTGCCAGAGAAGACTCTTCAAGAGTCCCTTGGACAGTAGGGAGTTCAAACCAATCAGTCGTAAAGGAAATCAACTCTGAATATTCACTGGAAGGACTGATGCTGAAACTCCAATACTTTGGCCACCTGCTGCAAAGAGCTGACTCACTGGAAGAGACCCTGATGCTAGGAAAGATTGTGGGCCGGAGGAGAAGGGGATTATAGGGGATGAGATCATTGGATGGCATCATTAACTCAATGGACATGAGTTTGAGCAAATTCCAGGAGATGGTGGAGGACAGGGAAGCTTAGCATGCTGTAGTGCATGGGGTCACAAAGAGTCAGATACGACTGAGCAGCTGAACAACAAAATCAATGGGGAGAAGTAAACCAGAGTTAGAGATACTCTTAGCCTATTAGACAGGGGAAAGTGGTTAAAATATAATGCACGCAAAATGTCTACTCTGTGCCTGATACAACTGACAGCAGATACTCTTTTTGAAAGAGAGACAGCCAAGCTAGTTTTTCACATCTGCATTATGAATTTCATTCTATCCTATCTGTCCTCCTGCTTGCTTCGAAATTGTAAAATGCAGAGACTGTGAGTGAACCAGGTCTGCCCCTCAGGGAGGTGAGAGCCGCACTCTGTTCTCAGCGTCCGTGGTGTGCCCTTTGTTCCAGGTCGATGCCATGTACACCAATGTCAGAGTGACTAATATCTGCTCCGACGGCACACTCTACTGCCAGGTGCCTTGTAAGGGTCTGAACAAGCTCAATGACCTTCTGCATAAGATAGAGGAGTACTTCCACTGTAAGGTATGGCTGCGTGGCATCTGTTCCCGAGACCAGTCCTAGCGTTGCAAACAGGAGGAGTCACTAAATTGTTGCAAAGAGTCAGACACGACTGAGCGACTTTCACTCTTAGTTTACCCTTTAATTCTAGTATCATTTTCTCTGAATCAAGATCTGCAGAGGTTTTAAGTTCCTAAAGGGATTTCCTTACCTCCATTAGGACATTGTAGTCATAATCCACAATATGCTGTGGTTTCCGGATGACTAAACTCCTATGCCCCTTCAACTCTGACCCCCTTACCCTGGACGTGAATGCTTCTCTCTAACCTGCGAGCACCCCAAGGCCTCACAGTACTTGTTCGCAGCATTGTTTCAGCTGTTTGGACGCTTACTTGCTTTACTAGAGTGTAGGCTTCCTGAGGGCAGAGACGGAGCCTCCCCAGGTTCTGGTAGGTACCTAATTCACTTAGGTACTGTAGTACGTTATCTAGTGTCTTACATAAAATCAGTATTCAAAAATATTTGCTGAATTGGAATAAACTTGTGTTCAGACTACAGCCTACAATCAAGACGTTAGATCTGTAACTTTACCTCTTTCTCCATGCAGATGTCTTAGAGGTATCTCAGGAGCATTACTGAAGTTTGATTTGCTGATCTATCCTGAAGAAATCTGAGACACCCAGAGGGTGGACTGTGGTTATTCATTTACATGCATGTGCTTGTTATCTGCAGTAATGAAAAGCACCTTGATAGCTCTTAGTGCCCTGGGAACTCAAGGGGAGGGAGACATTCCCTTTGGGGAAAGTAGAAACATTTACCCTGAAAGAACCAGTGGCAGGTCCCCAGCTTCAGAGAGGAGGAGGAGGAAGATACTGAACTGGCACTGATAGCCACAGTTGTGTTGATAACATTTCTTTTGTTTTGGAATTAAAATCTTTTCTTTGAATCTGAATGTTAGCAGAAGAGAAGAGAAGGCCTAATGGACTGCTAACCTAACCACCTCCTTCTCATCCAGGCTGTTCTTTTTATCAGATTCATCCTCCTCCTCTGTATTTAACTGATGTTGCCAGAGCCTAGATGAATCATCCTGACCTGCTATCATTTTTAGACGTGTTTTAACAGCGCTGATCTGTGATCCGTGTGCAAGGAAGGAGAGTAGAAACATTCACTAAAGGAAAGAGTAGATGGCTGCTGCCAACTAGCATGGGAGAGCAAAAGCCGAGGCCCTGCCGGCCCAGCACACGTGCCGTGTCCGCTGCCTTGCAGGCCTCACGGGAAGTCTGATCACGGACGGGGACGCAGTTGACCTGCACCCAGCAGTGGTGTGGCAGCGTGCACTTTGCTGGGGCTCATGAACGTGTCTCGTCTTTGTGTTTTGCAGCACATGACCTCTGAGGCCTTCGTTTCGTTGCCCTTCTGTGGGAAAGTCTGCCTCTTCCACTGCAAAGGAAAATGGCTACGAGTAGAGGTAAAATTAGTCACTTGACTATTTTTTAAATTTAAGATGAGATATTTCAGATGTACAAACAAGATTTTTTTGTTGTTGTTTAAAAAAAAAATCACCAGTTTAAGAAATGAAACATGACTATTACCGTTGACCCCGCCTGTCAGCAGCCCTTGTTTTTACTTCCTCCCCTGGGCGTACCAGCTGAATTTCATATTTCTCATTCCTCTTCCCTGCTTTATGCTTTTACTATATTTGTGTCTATACAAACACACTTTTACTATCTGTATATTTCAAATAGAAATAATCAAAATACAGAAATGAATAGTATATATAATGTTGTTCAGTTGCCCAGTCATATCTGTCTCCTTAGATGCCCATGGACTGCAGCATGCCAGGCCTCCCTGTCCCTCACCATCTCCCAAAGTTTGCCCAAGTTCATGTCCATTGCATCTGTGATGCCATCCAGCCATCTCATCCTCTGACGCCCTCATACTTACAGTAATACTTACAGTAAAACGTAAATACTTAAAGTAATACTTATAGTAAAAATGTGAATAAAGTATAACTGAATGAATGTTTTAAAAATTTATATCAATTGTAAAGTGTGTTGATTCTTCTGAAACATGCTTTTTCATTCCTTATGTTTGTGATGTAATCTGTTTTCCCTGCTGTATGATGTAACAGTGTATGAATATGCTAACATTATCACTCCATTCGCCTGACAGAGGATATTTAGCTTGGGTCAAAGTTTTTGTCACAAACGTTGCTATCCGGAAACTCCCCCTGCACATCTCACAGGGTGCATATTTAGGAGCTGGATTTCTGGGTGTAGGGAGGTGCTCTCCAGAGTCACTCTCCCTTAATGGGGTAGCCCTTTGAAAGTTCTGACTTCTTGGGGAGTCTCATGTCCTCCCTCCCCCTTGCCTAGGATTGCTTGGGTTTCAGTTTTCATATACTGTTTCCAGTGCCTAATAATTGTTTTGTTTTTCTTGCAAGCTCAGTTATGAATTTTAAAAGAGGTTTGTTATATTTTATCATATATTTCTTTATGTTTTTCAGAGGCAGGTTTTGGATTTTTGTGGTTGCTATTTCTTTCTATTTCTTTCTTTTCTTCTTCTTTTTTTTTTTTTTGAAACCTAGTTTCCTCAGTTACTAAATTGCAAATCTGGGCTCAATTTCATTTTTCCTGCTTTTCCTTTGTTGTAGTGGTTCTTAACCAAGGTGCAAAGACCTCTACTTACAGGGGGTGCCTGAACCCATCTACCATAATCATATGCATATTGTGTGTGTGTATGTGTATGTGTGTATGATGTATTTTGGAGGGAAAGTATTCATAATTTTCATAAGATTCTGAAAGAAACCAACCCTAAGAAGGTAAGAATCATTGCTTTATTGAGTTTTAATATAACATAGCAACATTTTGATAACTTAATTGTACTGATTTTCCCTTTTAGTAAGTCTTAATCATGACCACTTCAATAAAAGCATCAATTTCGAAATAATTATTGTCATTAATGTGAATGTGTCTTAGAAAGTCGAGATCTGGGTATATGACTAAAAATTATATGCTTAGCTATAAACTTCAAAGCGTGACTTGTTAAAAAGAACACAACATTATTTGAATTTTAAAGCTCTGTGCTGTTTAGTGTATAATGTATAAATGCATAAATACTTAATTTTTAAGCCTTTTATTTTGAAATTATTTCAGACTTTTAAAAAGTTGCAAAAATATTTCAAAGAGTTTCCATATACCTTTTACCCACCATCGCCAATTGATAGCATCTTGTATAACCATTGTCAAAACCAGGAAATTAACACTGGTGCAATATTATTAACTCATCTGCAGAACATACTGACGTTCCCAGACTGCCCTCCAGAGGTCCTCTTGCTGGTCCTCCAAGTTGTGGTCAGTGGTCCTGTCTTCGTTTCCTGACCTGACAGTTGCTCAGTCCTTGTTGTTTGTGGCCTTTTGAAGAATGGCGATATTTCGTAAAGTATCTCTCAACGTTAGTTTCTCCATGGGTTATAATCAGGTTATACCTTTTTGGCAAATACCTTCTCATTGCATGCTCAAATACTTTAGATAAATATCTAGTATTATTTTTATTGCTATCAAATTGTGATTATCTACCTTTCAGGTAGCAGAGGTATTCATTCTCTTAATGATGCATAGAAAGTTAGGAAAAGATGATTAATGAAAAGCAGATACTTAAGTGATGTATTTGCTCTTGACATTTTAACTTGTCTAACTTTAGCACATACATTTTCTGAACTGATTCCATACATCCAGCCAACTTTATTCAATGCAGAGGCCATTACTCTCCATTTCCCTGTAAAGGTGATCAGCCTTCACTCTGCACCATCTTCCAGTCAGTCTTAAATCACAGACACTTGACTTCTGCCCACACTCCATTGGAGAGCCTGTTCTTGTAAAAGCATCTTTATTATGCAGTCAAATTAGTATCTTTCAGGTCTTGTCTTTCCAAACCTCTTCGCATCAAATAGTGGTGAAACCTGAAATTCTCTTCTCACTAAGCTACCATATTATCAGATCCTAACCTTCCTTGTGATAGTCTAATGATTCTTTCTGTTACTTTTCACCCCAAACCTCCCTCCATCCCCATTTCTGAAATGTCAGTGTCCCCAAGTCCTATTTTAGCTTCTCAGTCTTCTCCGCCTCTTTATCCTTCTGGATAATCCTATCTCGTAGTTTCAGGTTCCATTTCAGCCCTAATGACTTCCAAATTCATTTCCAGCCCCTGGTGAACTGTAGATTTAAGCAAAAAGCCATCCTAATTGTTCATTTCACAAACTTTAAGTTCTCTGTGTCTGAAACCAAAATACTTTCTCCCCATCCTTACCTTTCTCCCATGTCTCTGTAGTCCCTTTGTGCAGCCATTCAGGCTGTTTGTTAAGAGTTATCTTGAATCCTACATCTTCCTCAACCCCGCAATGTAACTTATCACCAGTTCTTGCCCAGGTCACTGCAGCACCATGCCAACTGTTTCCTCTGCCTTCACCGTTGTCTTCCTCAAGTCAAGCTCTGTACCACTAAGAATGGGCAGCCCAAAATGCAAATAGTAGCACATCCAGCTTATGATGAGATTTACTGTTTCCATAGCACTACTTCGTTAAATATGACTGATCTCCTTTAATGTTTGCAAAACCCTGTTATCTCTGTTTGTACTAATGAGGAAGGTAACTCAGCTAATAAGTAGGGTAATTGACATGTAACTGTCAAAGCCACCAGGGAAGCCCAAACCCAAACTTACCAGACCCCAAAGCCTCATTAGCAGTTTCATAAAGGTGACCACCTCGTTCTTCTACTTGAGGCTTGGCATTGGCTTCTTATCTGCAGAGTGAAGTCTCAGTTTTTGAAGACATGTCTGGCTCTGCTGACCTTCCCTTTGCCTGTCTCCTAGCCTCACCTCTTGCCTTGGCTGGCCTCTCACTTGATACTCAAGTGTAACCACAATGCTTGTAGTCACCACATGTGAGAAATACGTGTGTGCCTTTGCCCATCCTCTCCCCTCTATTTGAAATGTCACAATTAGCCTCTAACTAGACTCCTACATTCAGAAAACTAAGATCATGGCATCTGGTCCCATCACTTCATGGGAAATAGATGGGGAGACAGTGGAAACAGTGTCAGACTTTATTTTGGGGGGCTCCAAAATCACTGCAGATGGTGATTACAGCCATGAAATTAAAAGACACTTACTCCTTGGAAGGAAAGTTATGACCTACCTAGATAGCATATTAAAAAGCAGAGACATTACTTTGCCAACAAAGGTCCATCTGGTCAAGGCTGTGGTTTTGCCAGTGGTCATGTATGGATGTGAGAGTTGGACTGTGAAGAAAGCTGAGCACCGAAAAATTGATGCTTTTGAACTGTGGTGTTGGAGAAGACTCTTGAGAGTCCCTTGGACTGTAAGGAGATCCAATCAGTCCATCCTGAAGGAGATCAGTCCTGGGTGTTCATTGGAAGGACTGATGCTGAAGCTGAAATTCCAATACTTTGGCCACCTGATGCGAAGAGTTGACTCATTGGAAAAGACCCTGATGCTGGGAGGGATTGGGGGCAGGAGGAGAAGGGGATGACAGAGGATGAGATGGTTGGATGGCATCACCAACTCAATGGACATGGGTTTGAGTAAACTCCGGGAGTTGGTGATGGACAGGGAGACCTGTGATTCATTGTGCTGCGATTCAGGGGGTTGCAAAGAGTCGGACACGACTGAGCTACTGAACTGACTGACTGAAACTCCTACTAATCTGGTTTACTCCCATTCATCATTTAGGGTCCAGCTCTGAGAGGACATAAATTTGTGAAACTTATGAAACTTCAGTTTGTGAAAAAGGAAATACTCGTATCTAATAAACATGATAATTTCTTAAAGTGACGAAAATTTACACAAATTATCCAAACTGATTTGTTAGATAAGTCACAATGGATAGACTTAAGTAAAATTACATAGAAGACAGATGACATGAAATATTTTTATGAGACACTGTGGGAAAGGCAGTCAACTATGAAATAGTATCTACAAACATTTTGTAATTTTTGTAAATCTAATTTTTGTGAATCATAAATAAAAGACTAGACAGAGAACTGTAACCTATAGTAGATGACAAGTGATTTTTATATCATTCTTTTTAGGTATCTAAATGTTCTATAGTGTAGGCATTTTATTAAAATAAGAAAAGTAAATTTTGGGGGAAAAAAAAGTACCAGTTCTAGGCTTTCCTATCTCCTGAAAGCTAGCTCTGACATCTACCTCCTGCTGGATCAGTTAACCACCCTGTGTGTTCTCATAATACCCCATGCATATCTTCATTATCACCCTTACTACAGTATAGTATGGCATGTATTTGTATCCTCTCTCATAGCACTGGGAGCTCTTTGAGAAGGGGTGGTATATCTCTGTAGCCCACTTATGCCTGGATATGGCAAGCATCCATACCAATGTATCTATTCAGTATGTGTGTATGAATAAATGAATAACATTTTAAAATATTGTTCCATGGAACTGTTTGTGTTTATCATGTCTTAAGAGGTTTAGAAATTTATGCTGTTAATCAGGCATTACCTGGGGCAATAGAAAAAGGCTTCACTTTTGGTGAATCTGACTTCAAGCTGAGAGTGGCCCAGTTCTTGACAGTCATCGTATTGAAAGCACCACCACCACGCTTAGGTAGCAGTCCGTGCAGTTGTAGATGTGAAATCTTAGCCCAGTGGGGTTGTATTTGGCCAATGTAAATACTTAAGGGACTTTTCTGATGGTGAAGGGAAAGCCTTTCAGCAGGTAAAGAGTCCCCCAGCAGTGCAAGAGACATAGCAGACACAGGTTCAGTCCCTGGGTCAGGAAGGTCCCCTGGAGGTGGGCACGACAACCCACTCCAGTGTTCTTGCCTGGAGAATCCCATGGACTGAGGAGCCTGGTGGGCTCCAGTCTAAAGGATCATAAAGAGTTGGACAGCTGAGCAACTAAGCCCAAACACACACAAATATTTAACAATGGCAAATACCACAGTGGCATTTTGGGGGCGTATTAGGGGAAACTGGACTCCCCTGGTGGCTCAGACGGTGAAGTGTCTGGCTATAATACGGGAGATCAGGGTTCAGTCCCTGGGTCGGAAAGATCTCCTGGAGAAGGAAATGGCAACCCCATTCCAGTATTCTTGCCTGGAAAATCCCATGGATGGATGAGCCTGGTAGGCTACAGTCCATGGGGTCGCAAAGAGTCGGACACGACTGAGCGACTTCAGGGGAAACTGGGCATTTAAAGATACATCCAGAATCTTATATTGTGATGTTGCCATTTGACCACAGGTGGGTGATTATTCAGTATTCTTGGGCTTCCCTGGTAGCTCAGCTGGTAAAGAACCCACCTGCAATGCAGGAGACCTCGGTTCAATTCCTGGATGGAGAAGATCCCCTGGAGAAAGGATAGGCTACCCACTCCAGTATTCTGGGACTTCCCTAGTGGCTAGATGGTAAAGAATCCACCTGCAACGCTGGAGACCTGACTTTCTTAGTTCCAATTTGTAGTTAGGCCAAATGATACAAATTATCACTGGGCTTTCTGACTAGGCTACAAAATAGCAAAATATGTTTTAAAAATATATAGTATTTACCTACTACAAGTGAAATTCTGTCTCTGAATTCTGTTAATTTCCTCATTACTGCGACACAATAGTTTTTCTCTCCCTCATGTGCTAATATTTTGGAGAACAGACTGCATCTTATACTCAGCAGCATATAATGATATACCATATACCAAATTGTTTTATAATCAGTAGTGTCCTAGAGTTGTAAACATAGTAATTATTACTATATTTATGAATTAACAGCAAGATGTCAATTCTATTGTAAAAGAATACCTATTTGAGAAACAAGTACATTTTAAAATAAGAGAAAATTTAACCAGCATATAGCCTTTTGTTGTTTTTTATAATGCATTTTAGAGTTGTGCAGAATGAAATTGAACAGAACCATTTTGGCCTATTGGGTATGCTAATAAATCAGCCAACACTTGTCTCTTTGCAGATCACAAATGTGCACAGCAGCCGGGCCCTTGACGTGCAGTTCCTGGACGCCGGCACCGTCACGTCTGTGAAAGTGTCCGAGCTCAGGGAGATCCCCCCGCGGTTTCTCCAAGAGATGATCTCAGTGCCGCCCCAGGTACCGTATGTGCAGCCCGGGAAACTGCGTGGGGGGAATTTGAGCGCATTCATGGTCACATTGTGAGATGCTCTCTCAGGTTCTGGTAATGACTGAGCTTACAGCAAGACTGGAAATGACCCAAATGTGCAGTGACTGACTGGGTTTCAGATGTAAAATTTTGCTTAGACAAGAAGGCCAGTCAGACTTAGAGAATGTTGTTTGATAAATGTTTTTTTCAAGCATGTTGAGTCATCAGGCTATATTGTCCAGTTAGAGATTCTGTTTTAATAATTGGATAACAGTGCTGGCTTCTACACAGTTTCAGGATATTATATGTCAATATTTACTTCCAGAGTTCTTACTTAAGTAACCTGTCTTGGATATGTTTATATTTAACCTTTTCCATATAGATTTTGGGGTCTTGCCTGATAGCTCAGTTGATAAAGAATCCGCCTGCAAGGCAGGAGACCCTGGTTCGATTCCTGGGTTGGGAAGATTCACTGGAGAAGGGATAGGCTAATCACTCCAGTATCATTGGGTTTCTCTTGTGGCTTTGCTGGTAAAGAATCCACCTACAATGCAGGAGACCTGTGTTATATCCCTGTGTTGGGAAGATCCCCTGGAGAAGTATTCTGGCCTGGAGAATTCCACGGACTGTATAGTCCACAGGGTCGCAAAGAGTCGGACATTACCAAGCAACCTTCACTTCACTTCCATAGGTTTCATTGAAAAGATTAACTGCAGGCTATCATTCCCCTCTTGATAGAAATCCAAATGATAAGAAGTTTGAACACCTCTGGCCTCTGTACCCCTTGTTAAAACACCCATCCAGGGCCAGCCTTACCTAGAAAAGGCTCCCGAGGCTGGAGGGGAAGGGGGATCTGTCCTGCTGCTTCTGAGTGTCTGAAGGTTATGCAAAGTGTACCATCTTGGTAAAAGCCACTATAATTTTTCCTGTTAACCTTACTGGATTTGTCATTTGATCATTGTGAAGTTGGGAGAACCTTTATAACAACATCTCCCTAGAGACTGAGAGAAGCAAATGGATCGCCTTTGGCCAAAGGCTGACCCATGAATATTGGATCTGAGCTGTTGGCTCGTATAGTGTTTTAAAATGCATTAGTCGTTTGCTTCTATCTTCTGAAACTAGAAAATGTTACTGTACTGAGCAGGCCCTGTTACAGGACAGTGCTCTAAGGGAGCTTAGGAGTGCCGCTCTCTATAGGGGAGGGTGCGAGCTCACCAGTGCCCCGGCCCAGCCGGCCTCATTCCCTCATGCCCACCAGGCAGAATCCGCGCTCTCTGCTCTCGGTGACCTCCACACCCAGAAAGGAGCCTCATCCAAGGGGCACAGTGGGAGACGGGGGCCCTCACGGGTGAAGAGAGGCGTGACAGTGAGGGTTGGGCGCAGAGGGAGAGGAGGAATGTCAGATCCTGGAAGTGAGTTTGATCTCCTTCACAAAACTGCCTCCATCAGTTCAAAGGCTCCCGTGAGACTGGAGGGAGTCCCTGGGGTTATCTTTTCCTCCCTGAGGTAGACATTCTACAGACGCTTGTGCAGTGATGGTGGGAGGTAGAAAGCCTCAGGGAAAATGAGGCTTTTAGGTATCAGTGGGTTTCAGTTTCTCTTAGCCTTCTTAATTCTCATAACAACCTCCTTCAAAAGTGAAAGTGGCTCAGTCGTGTCCGGCACTTTGCAACCCTGTGGGCTACAGTCCATGGAATTCTCCAGGCCAGGCTACTGGAGTGGGTAGCTTTTCCCTTCTCCAGGGGGTCTTCCCAACCCAGGGGTAGAACCCAGGTCTCCCACATTACAGGTGGATTCTTTGCCAGCTGAGCCACAAGGGAAGCCCTCCTTCAAAAAAGTGAGCACAAGTGCCTGAGGTACTCCAGAAATCCTTCATTCAGCAGTAAATCTCCACAAAGAGTTCTACAGTGAGTCAGGTTTCCTCCAAATGACACTTCATTTTTTTTTTTAAGTTGGACTTAGAGTGAAGACTTCAATATAAGTCCTAATCTTGTCTTCATGACTTCGTGACCTTACTTAAGCAGGTTAGTATGTCTGAGTCTGTTTTACCATCTGTAAAATCAGATGGCAACACTAGCCTGCCAGTGTTGTAGTCTTGTATTGTAGAGTGAGAAGTCCGTACCAGGCCTCTATAACCCTGGCTCATAGGAATAAAGATAATGGTAGTAATATAAATAGGAATACAGACGCTCCAGCCCAAGAGCTGTGATTGTCACTATTAGCTGTTGCTTGCTTTCTGTCTTGGCAACATTTGAGTTGTATGAAAATAATATTGACGTTACTCTTAAGTACCTATTTTAAGATGGTGTGCCCTCTTTTCCATTGTGTTTTCGTTTCAGGCTATCAAGTGCTGTTTAGCAGATCTTCCACAATCTATTGGCATGTGGACCCCTGATGCTGTGCTTTGGCTAAGAGATTCTGTTTTGAATTGCTCAGACTGTAGCATTAAGGTTAGTTATCTTAATGGTCTTGATAAATGGGAGCTTGTCAGCCAAAAGGACTCGTTTGGTTTTTGTGAAAGAATTTTATCTTCCTGTAAACTGATGTTTTCACATCTGACACACTTTTGTAGTTAGGAGATTGATTACATATGTAGCTATGAGACATTTTGTGGTTTAATTTTTATTTAAGAATTTATCCTGTATCTGTAGTATTATGTTTAAACCTTTTATATAATTTATTGATTATTAATAAAGTAGCAGATAGTTTTCAGCTCTTAATTTGTTCCTTGATAAGGAATTAAGTACCCAACACAGCACCACATATCTCTCTCTCTTTTTTTAAGATTTATTTATGCATGTTTACTTTTCCGGCTGTGTTGGGTCTGCCTGCTGCCCGAGCTTCTCTGCAGTTGGGAGGGCAGGGGCTGCTCTCTTGTTGGGGAGCAAGGGCTCAGCAGTGGTGGCACGGGAACAAGTCGCCCCACAGCATGCGGGGCCTTCCCAGACCAGCGTGCAAGGTGATTCTTAATCACTGGACCACCAGGGGAGCCCTGGACCATATATTTCTTGATAAATCTTTCTAAAGACCATTTAAGTAAGTCCTGTATTTCTTTTTTTTCCTAAAGTAAAATGAATTATAAACAAATTTTGCTTATCATCTTGGTTTTTTGTCTCTTTTCCTAAAACTTATATAAACTGCTTTCTTTCTTTCACTAATGTGTTTCTTTTTCACACTCTTCAATCTTTCTATCAAAAACACTGCTCATATTTCCAGGAATAGAAATGCAACATTAAAAAAAAAATGTGAGATAGTATTTCTCTATTTTAGCTAATGTAAATAGTGTCATCATTTTATATAAGCATGTAACAGTTAACAGTGAAATGTCCTTGAGAAATCTCTTCATGAGGATCTCTCAGTTATTCTAGCCCACACTGATTCTCCTGTCTGCATTCTCCTCTAGGGCTTATCATGTACAGTCACACTGTTATGTACCATTTTGTATTCATCAATTGCCACACAAATACTGTTTTCTCAGCTACATTTTCAGCTCCTAAAGCCAGGGTATTGGTCAATAAAAATATTTTTAGTGGTTGATGTTTGAAAGAGTGTTTCTGTACCATTAATATCAAAATGAATTTGCAGTCAGTACTTCATTAACCCTCCAAAGGATGAATTTAAATTGACTCCTCTTGCTACAAGGAGAACTTTTAAAGTAAATGACTTTAGAAGGATTGCCATGTGGTGCTTCCTTGTCTTCACGTCTGTGTTCCTGCCTTTCATTTCTTAGCCCAGTTTGATCAAAGATAGAAGTGTCTCATTTTTGTTGTTCCTGAGATAAACCAGAGGAGCTAGTGAGAAGAATTAACAGGCACCCAGCCCTTGGGGGCACACAGCAGCCTAGTCCCAGTTACCAGCGTGTGGGGCTTCTGTGCAGACTCCCCCACTGCCAACAGGAGAATGTAGACAGGTCGTCGGAGGTCTCCTGGGCAAAAGGTGCAACGTGGCGACTCCTTTTGGCCTATTCAGTGGAGCTTTCTTCCTCTTTTTCTCCCAAGGCCCCTCTCCTCTTATGTAACTAGGGAAGAGGAAGAGGGGTGAGAACAGATATTAGGACCAAATAAGGAATTTGGACCCAAGGTCTCAAAAGATACGGTGAAAGGCGAAGCTTTTTCCTTCCCCTCCCTGTCTGAGGGTGCACCAGCACTAAACAGAATGCTTCTAGGATGTTTTGCTATTTTTATTGCTTTTATTGTTGAAGTTGGCTGAGGAGCACATGGGGATTCATGATGATATCCTTTCTGCTTGGAGTGTTTTCACATATTGTTAATTTTAAAAAAATTAGTCATGGTAATAAGAATCAGACCTTTAGCAAGTCATAGGTATTTTCAGTTTTAGAGGTTAGTAGATTTTCCATTTCTACAAGGTGCTACTGGTTTCTAGATTGCTTGGATCTACGAGCTTATTCTTTGCTTCCAGCTGTGATAGACAACTCATCTGACCTTAAACAAACTGATTTTTAGCAAGTTGGGTTTTTGCAGAGTACTGTTTTTTAATATTTAAAGTTAACATAATGACTTCTGGGAATCCACCATGAACTTGGATTTCTTAAATTGGTGTTTTATGTTTTCCAAAGGTTACAAAAGTGGATGAAACCAGAGGTATCGCACATATTTATTTATTCACCCCCAAGAACTTCCCCGATCCTCACCGCAGTATCAATCGCCAGATTACAAATGCAGATTTGTGGAAACATCAGAAGGATGTGTTTCTGAGTGCCATATCCAGTGGAGCCAGCTCCCCCAACACCAAAAGTGCGAACACACCCATTTTGGGCAACCCTGGAGAGAATTTCAGAAAGAGCCTTACGGATGTCCTCAAGAAGTCTGTGGTCAGCCACCCCAGCTCTTTCTTTACAAAGGAACTGCCACCTCCCGTCCACTTATCCAAGCCAGGGGAGCACATGGACGTGTACGTGCCTGTGGCCTGTCACCCCGGCTACTTTGTCATCCAGCCGTGGCAGGAGATACACAAGCTGGAAGTTCTGATGGAAGAGATGATTCTCTATTACAGCGTGTCTGAGGAGCGCCACGTGGCCGTGGAGAAAGACCAAGTGTATGCTGCCAAAGTGGAGAATAAGTAGGTCCCTAGACAGAGCCATTTATTCTCCTCCTAAGAAAAATCTGTAGAGTGGTACCCAGAGCCCTTAGCCCTGCAGGGGAACTTGTGATAGTCTGTCAGTCGTGCCCGACTCTTTGGGATCCCGTGGACTGCAGCCCGCCAGGCTCCTCACTCCATGGGATTCTCCAGGCAAGGATCCTGGAGTGCCATTTGGAGCTCTGCAAATGGGAATTCTGAATGTGAAGCAAGACCAGTGAATTATGTGATTTTCTAATATTTAAAATGATGTCATTTAGCTGAAAATCTAATGACCATATTCCTGTTAAAACCTAATTATATCAGAAGTGAAGGTTTAAACATTTTTTCTACTTTCTTGTGAGAAAAAATATTTAGTATTTATATTTATTATTTAGGAAATAATGTTTTTTATGGATGACTTTTAAATTTTAAAAATAAGATATTTACTGGAGAAAATTTAGAAAATCCAAAAAAGTATAAGAAAACAAGGTCAGCCAACCAACATAACCCCTGTTAAACTACTTATATATTTCTTCTAGGTTTTTCTCCTATACATATTTCTCCAATTAGTATATTACTATATGTAATTTCATACCTACTTTTTTCACTTAACATAATTCTGTGAACTGTTTTTCATGTGATATCATTTCTTCATAAATGTTTTTAATGGCTAAATATTCTATCATAAAGAGAAATCATAATTTACTTACCATTTTCTTTTTTATAGGTTTTTTCCCCCCAGACTTTTCACTGTTGTAAATAATGTTGAACTGAAATCTTTGTTCAACTCTCTGATTATTTATGGGGTAGATTTCTGAAAGAGAAGTCACTTGTTTAAAGATTACAGGATTTTTTATATAGGCAGTTGGTTGCTTCCTAGAGAGCTTTTGCCACCTTTGTAAGGTGCAGCAAACTCATATTTCACTGCTCTTTAGACACTGGACTTCCCTAGTGGCTCAGATGGTTAAGTGTCTACCTACGAAGTGGGAGACCCGGGTTCAATCCCTGGGTCGGAAAGATTTCCTGGAGAAGGAAATGGGAACCCATCCCAGTATCCTTGCCTGGAAAATCCCATGGACGAAGGAGCCTGGTAGGTGACAGTCCCTGCGGTCTCAAAGAGTCGGACACGACTGAGCGGACGTCACTTTCTTTCTTGGCCATTAGACAGTGAGGCTCTGTTGAACACTTTCAGTCTGTTTTCTCTTGTTTGCACATTTGGATCCACACAAAGAACTGTCTCTCCCCCTACCCTTCCTGTCCCAACATACACATAGGCACATACCCCTAAACTCAGTTTAAAAGGTCAACTGCTTATGTTTTCTAGAAAGTACTTTCATTCATTCTTATGATAAATACCTTAACCATACTTACGTATGGTTATGTATATATATGTACTTAACCATAGGCATTTATAGAATTTTTCTATTTTTGTGGGAGAAGAAAAAATTTTTAACTCAAAAGTGAAAAGTATAATAGCTTTCATTCTGAAAGGCATTCAAGTTATATGTCACAGCTTTTCATCTTTAAAAAAATATTTTTACTATGTCATGTTATTTATAGTCATAAGCATAAATGGGTTTCAATACAGGAACATAGTATAAATTTACCCTTCAGAATTGCTGTTGAGTAGTTTAATCACAGTTAAAGCCAAACTGATGCTAACTCAGGAGGAGCAGATTAATGGTGACTAGTGGTGGGGAGCTCCCACTGGAGGGAAGGGTCCTGTGAAGAGCACCCAAACACTGGAGACTGTATTCAGGACTTCAGACTCCACCCCCACACCTCCGTGGGTCTGACAGCTCTACTGAGTGAGGACTCTTGGGTTAAATCAGTTAACTTGTCCTAAATAATCAAGGGATGCCTTACCTGTAGGAAGAGGTTATCTAATATCTTTTGAAACTTTACAAACTGAATCCGTTTAAAGTGCTTAGACCTTCTATCGTGCTTACAACCCAGGACTATTTACTCAACTTTGTTCTCAGCTCTGGCAAGTTAAGACTTAGGAATTTCACATACACTTTCGATTACAGTGGTTTCCACAGTTATCACAATATAGGAATAACCTAGACAACTTATTAAAAATGCAGGCTCCCCTTCCTCACCCCAGGACTCTTGAGTCAGAATCTCAGACAGTGGAACCACAGAATCTGTTTTAAGTAAACTCTCCAGGTGATCCACATGCAGCCTTGTACTAAAATTGGCAATGTAGTCAAAACTGAAGCCTTATTTAAGCAGTTAGTTTTGAAAATTGAAAGCTAAATAGAAATGCAACACGTGATGGTTCTCTCCTCACTGCTCTGAACCTTTTTTATAGACTGAAAGCACAGGCCACTGTCAGTCATTTGCCTGGTACAGTTTAAAGACAGTGATATTGGTGGAAACCAAATGTTTATATCTCCTTTTATACTTATACAAATTATACTTAGAGCCTGCACCAAACTGGCATTTCCACAAATGGAAATTTCTCTTCAGATTAATCTAAGTCTTATTTGCACAGCTTATCTTCATTTGAATAATACTTATGATAATAGCTACCATTTGCCAAGTGCCTGTTATATGCCAAATGAATGTGTTAGGTACTTAAAATGTATTATTTCTGCAAGTAAATTAAAACTAAACATAACGCATGAGGTGACTGAGGCACAGAGAGGTTAAATGAAGAGCCCAGAGTGACATGATGGGAAAGTGGCCCAGATGGGACTCCAGCTCAGGTCTCTTTGACCCCCAGAGCTCATGAACTTTTTATGACACCTTTCTGTCCCCCTGTTGTCTCTGTGGTGCGTGGATTATTGCTTCCCGCACTTTGGGCTTATCTGAAGGCTTCTGGAGTTCATCCCAGAAGCTCAATCACATAGAATGTTTGAAGTCAGTCTCTCTGTAGCTTTCGTACTGTGTTCATGCTATAGCATCTGTGTGTGGGCTCCTGTACCTGTTTTCACCCAGCGTGCACTGGCTGGGGAATCGGTTGCTCCAGCCAGCCCCAGCCCAGCCTGTGTTGCAGTGATGAGGCTGCTGTTCCCCTGGGCTTGTGGTTCGTAATCTTGTTTCAGGGGGTGGCTGGGTCTGCTACCCAAGGCAGAGCCTGACCCACACCTTTCGGGAGCAGAGACACTTTCATTTTAGACATTATTGACAATCATCCTTTTCCTGATGTAATAATACTCTTTAATCATGTAGTCAAGATATAGGACTTTAAAATGGTCCTTCATACCTAAACTTTGAAGTCTAGGTTTTTCTCATTTTGATTGAAATGACGTAGGTCCAGAGGAGGAACGTATATTCATGTGAATTCCTTTCTCACTTCTTGAACTTGAGGTCTGAAATCATACTCTTCTTCCTCCCTCCTCCCTGCCCCCCCACACACTGTGCTCTCATATCCTTTATAAGTTCTTTTTTTAGGTGGTGGATTAAATTTTGTGTTTCATGTTATCTCGGGTTTGTAATTCCTTACTTGGCAAAATTAAAATGATCAATCAGTGTTCAAAACTTCTTGTCCTCTTTTCCCAGCCTGGCTTCCCATTCTCTTCCATTCCTCCGCACACTTCACTTTCCAGATGCACAGTAGCCACCTCACTGCTCCACCCTGCCCTGCACAGTCTTCTGTGTCTTTTCGTTTTTCTCCTGCTTGTCCTCAGCCAGCCCTGGCTCGCTTTCCTCTTTCTGTCTTTCACACATGGCATGACTAAGTTGCGTCCGACTCTTTGCAACCTGTGAACTGTATAGCCCACCAGACTCCTCTGCACATGGGATGTTTCGAACAAGAATACTGGAATGGCCATTGCTCACACTAGCAAGCGGGTACTTTCTGCCCCCTTCTGATGTCTATGTCAGAAGCTTTCTCTAATCTCCTTTATACTTTAATAAAACTTTATTACACACACACACAAAAGAATACTGGATTGGGCTGCCATTTCCTCCTCCAGGGAATCTTCCTCCTCCAGGGAATCTTCCCCATCCAGGACTTGATCCCGTGTCTCCGGTGTCTCCTGTCCTGGCGGGTGGATTCTCTACCACTGAGCCACCTGGAAAGCCCACCACACATGGGCCTTGTTCCAAACCTGTGGCCATCTCCTGTCTCCCCATCAGAGGGAAGGGACCCATTAGCCTTGTCCTGGTCGTCCTCCATGCCACTGTTTCCTCCTGCTTAGAGGTGGTTCTCCTTTATCAGCTCCATGAGGCTTGTAAAAGGGTATTGAGTGAACACATTCCATCAGATGAGCCAGTGGCAAAACAGAAAATAGTAACCTCTGGAAAAAGAAGAAGCAGTCTCCTTAAAAACTTCTATAACAATATTGTTTTTATATTTTGATGAACAACATTTATATTAATTTTTCTTTTTATAAAAAAAAATGTTGCCCTTAAAGCAAGTGTTGACTTTTTCTTCTCTTTTAATCCCACACACATCCAGGTGGCACAGGGTGCTCTTAAAAGGAATCCTCACCAATGGACTGGTGTCCGTGTACGAGCTGGACTATGGCAAGCATGAGCTAGTCAGCATGAGGAAAGTGCAGCCGCTGGCAGACATGTTCCGCAAGCTGCCGTTCCAAGCCGTCACTGCGCAGTTAGCAGGTAAGTTCTGGGGAGTCTGAACGTCATTGTTTTCCAGGGTATTGTTGAACATCTGGGTTCTTTGTGCTTTTATTGTAGTGTTAAGAAAAAACCCACAGCTGCATATACTAGCCAAAGTAAACAAATGGAAACAATGAAACAACAGGAGAACATTGCATGAATAATATTTCATAATTTATTGCATAAATTATAATGCATCTACAAAATGGACTTTCACAATTATGAAACATTCCTGGCTTGTAAAATATGACCATTTTCATGGCCAACATTTGCATTGCAACTAACAGCACAGAAGTGTGTGATCTCAGCACAGAAGTGTGTGATCTCAGCACACTCACACTAGCCCACTGACTGTCATAAAATCTGAGGAGCTAGACTCATAAGCATAGAGTGGTACTTCTTTATGATAGTATCTGGTGAGATGCGTTTTTATCTTCTATGAAAGCAGTGCAGTGTCGGTGGCCCCTCCGTGTGCCCTCGACCAGTAGTTAACGTGGGCGTGTAGCTGAAGCTCTGCCCAGACAGCTGGCAGCGTCAGCAGTGGGTGTGGAGGTCGGGAGGGCCGAGGGGTGCCGACATCTCCAAGCATCTGGGCCGTGTGTCCTGCTGTGCTGGGGTGTGGGGGAGTTATGGCCACATGTGCCGCCCTCATTCTCTGACCCCCACTCACTTCATATACTTAGTAGTGGCAGAACTAACTTGATCTCAGAAATGAGAGCAATTGTGTATATAAATTCTTATTGACAGCTTTTACTAAAGAGATAGGGATAGATAGATAGAGATGGTCTCACTTGCCAGTTTCTTTGTCTCCTCCTAGACCTCCAAGGAAACTCTCACGGTAGGCAGATGTGAACCAACACTGGCATCTTACGTGTGGCATGGCTACCGTCGGCCTTGTCTGAACTCAACGTTCTAAATAATGAATGGCTGCATTTTCACGTCTTAATGTTCAGGTTTTACTGTCCACACCTATTGCTGAACGTGGCAGTCGGCCCTTGCAGTGAAGGTGTCTCTGTGAGTGAGGGGTGCCAGGCACCATCATCCCCACGCCAGCTCCGTGGCGCTCCCTGTGTGGGGGGCTCTGCCGCGCTTCTCGTCACTGAATTCAAACCGTGCTGGGAGGTTCAGGCTCTGTTACCGTCGCTGAAGCAGTAGTTTACAGGCTGTCCTAGGCTTCTCTCATCAGAAGTTCTTAATAATCCAAGAGTTTAGCCCACTCACTGATAGGTCTTTAAAATCATATACGAAACTCCCGTACCTTCATCACTATGGGGCATAATTTATAGTTTATCTAATCTAGCATAAGTGAACTTAATTTTTATTAGCTTAATGGTATCTCTTGAAAAATACAGAATCCTTGTCTCAGTTTTGTTTTAAAACCTCATTCAGAATTCTCTAACTTGAGCTCTCAAGTTTAAAAGTCATGGGGATGGCTGATTCATGTCAATGTATGGCAGAAACCACTATAATATTGTAAAGTAATTAGCCTCCAACTAATAACAATAAATGAAAAATAAATAAATAAAAGTCATGGGGATTTATTAATAGATATGCATGAGATTTTAAATTCATCTTGTCCAACCGCTTTATTTTGTGAGAAGTAAACTGAGGCGTGAAAGATTAGCTGGTTTCCCCAAGATCATGCCATTTCATAGAGGAAGGCTGGAAACACTAACTGAATCTCCAGACTTTCATTCCAGTGCTTTTACCATGATGATGTATGTGACTTTAAACACTGGAAGTGTATTAATTCCTCTTCATCTTTTTTTTTTTTTAAACTCTATCTGGTTCATCAGAAAAAAATATGTGACTAAGAGAAATGTCATTAATATTTTTCTCATCATCAGTCTGTTATCTATGTATACTTTAGGAAAATGGGCAGCCTTTATTATAACTTCATTTTATAACATTCAAATGAAATTAGTGTCTGTAATTGAAGGTTTATAGGAGTAACTCCATTTGGAATAGAAAAACTATAAGCAAGACTATTTTAAGATTGTTTGGCATCTCTGTTTTCATTTAGGCAAGTCTAACCTGGTATGCTTAAGCTACTTTGCCACTGACTAAATAGTTTTCCATTATAACAGATGAAAGAAAGGCTCCTTTGACCCTTCACTGATATTCGAATCCTTGTCTTTCTCTTAGGAGTGAAGTGTAACCAGTGGTCTGAGGAGGCTTCGATGGTGTTTCGAAATCATGTGGAGAAGAGACCTCTGGTGGCACTGGTGCAGACAGTTATGGAAAACACTAACCCTTGGGACCGGAAAGTAGTGGTCTATTTAGTGGACACATCGTTGCCAGACACAGATATCTGGATTCATGATTTTATGTCAGAGTATCTGGTAGAGCTTTCAAAGGTCAATTAATCACTGATTCTGAGACCTTGACAACTAATTCAGATTTTTTAGCAATAACAAAAATGTAGTAGGCTTTTAAAAAAATTACCTCTGCTACATGGCTTTCACTGCTGTGGGAAGTTGAAAAGAATATGCTTATTTTTTTTTTTAAGCTTATGTTTGATGAAAGATATTTAACAAGTTTTGTTTTAACGGAGTTGACTTTTCAAAGAGAATTGCACTTGAATTACTACTATAATATTAGAATTAAAATGTTTATCAATACAAAAACTGATCATCTTAAAATTTCTCGGCTTTATGATCTTAAAGACCGCTTTCCCTCTCCTGTTCATGTTTTCTTCCTTGCTGTGCTCAGTCCTTCTCCAGTTAGCTTGAGAATTTCATGATGTCACCCTGCCCTAGTACAGCGGCAGGTCCCAAAGCAGGTGGTCACCACACCATGTGAAGTCTTTCCCAAGTCTTCACATCAGCATTGCTACTAGTGGTGCAGCTGGAGGAACAGCCCAGGCAGACCAGCACCTCCCTCACTCCAGATCACCCCAAATCTCGAGTCGTTTCTCATTGCCCAGAGAGTGTGGACCGAGAACCCAGGCCTCTGCCATCTCCCTGCCCAACTCCCTGTCCACTGCTCTCCCTGCAGCAGTCACACTGAGCCTTCATCTGCTTCCCAAACCCCATGCATGCTCATCCGGGGCTGCTGATGTTCTCAAGCAAGGCTTCCTCTCCTCCAGACCACTCTTGCTGTCTTCCCTCAGCCTCACTCATATTGTCTGCACCGTGCTGGTCTGTCGGTGTCCTCCGGGACTTCCCAGGCTTGTCTGGTTCCACTCCCCGACTCCCCTCCTACTCCCAGCTTTGTACTTCCAGCTCTGCCTCTCATGGTGCCCAGACCTCACTGAGCTTCCTACCGTATCAATAGTTGTCTGCACCAATCGCTCCAAATAGACTGTGAGCACCTGGAGGGAGGGATCTTAGTCATTTGTCCAGTCAGACCCTGGTAAATACTGGACAGCTGGTTCAGGTGGGTATGTGGGGGGGGGGTCAGTGAGCCTTGACCTGTAGTGTCTGCTGATTCCTGTGTTACAAATACCCCTGCTGTTGTTGAGCTCCAGGAAACAGTGTGAGCTGAGAAAAGATGCACAAAGTGGCTCTTGTGAATTCTAGGATGGTGAGTGCAGTTTGACTAGGAAGCTTAAAATTTTGATTTTGAACATATACTGAGTTTAGGCTAGTTGACCTCTGTGTGACGAGATGCATAAATAATTAGAAATATAGAGTGGATTTCAGGGCCAGAGATAAAAACTCTTAAATATTTAGACCAGGCCAGATATAAAAATTCTTAAAGTCGTTTGCTTATTTTTATTTGTGAACATCTAGGAAAGGTAAGACCAGAAAGAAAGTACCAAATGTTTAAAATTTTTCATGTAAAATGTGTTGAAATTATCTTACTAGCTTTTTTAAAATTTACATTTAGCCTTTATAATTAAAGTGATTCAAAATTCAGGAATGATTATCCCAGTGATTTAAATAATCATTTATGATAAAATAAAAACATTCCAATACATAAATATTTAAGTAAAATAAAGTAGTATAAACTTTTTTTTTTAATAATGGTTTCTTTCCCTAACAACAACCAAAGAAAAACCCACAAATATCTTCAAATTGTCTACAGGTAAGAAAAAGGTGGTTTCTACTACTTCACTAACTTTAGGAACATTTCTGTCACTTTTTAAAATAAAACAATTAATTGTTGATATAACTGAACAGTTAAGCTAGTGCTGAAACAGTTTGACAGACAAACAAGACTTGCCCCCTCCTCATACCATATTCAGAAGTCCATTCCAGGTAGACTGAATCCTGACAGTGAAAGGCTACTGTAGGAAGATAACAGGAAACTACCTTTATAATCCAGGAGCAGGAAGGATGCCTTAAACTGGACGCCCAAAGTGCTAACAATAAAGGAGAAGACTGACCCTTGAACATGGTGAGGGGAGGGCTTTCGGTGGTGCCAACCCTCCCTGCTGTGGAAAATTCCTGTGTAATTTCACTGCGGGACGCCCTCATATATGCGGTTCCTCCATGTCTGTGGTTCCACATCTTCAGGTTCAACTGTCCAGAGATGGTGCAGTACTATAGTATTTTCTATTGAAGAAAGTCCATGTGTATATGGGCTTGCACAATCAAACCTGTGTTGTTCAAGGGTCAGTGTACTAGACAACATTAAAATGAAGAACATCTGTGCATTGAACACATTATTATGAAGGTGAAAAGGCAAAGCACAGATTGGAGGATACACACACACACACACACACACACACAAATAGATTATATATACTCAATAAATTATCCAGAAGCAAAATGGGCAATACATCTGAACAAACACTTCACAAAAGAGGAACTCCAGCAAGGCCATAAACATGAAAGATGCTCAATCCATTAGGACACAGGGAAATGCAAATCAAACCTCAGTGAGATACCACTACTCAAGTGCCAGAGTGGGGAACATGTTTCTATTTCTGTTAATTCCAAGTGAGTTGAAGATGTGTGCACTTGTGCAGGGAGATGCTGGTAAAGAAAGTTCACAGCTAAACATCTGTAATATCTAAAACCCAGAAATAACCTATATGTCCATTAATAGTAAAATGGATGTTTTTAAAAACTGATATATTCATCCAGTGGAAACCTCTGCAGCAATGAGAGTAAGCAAACTACAGTCACGTGAACCAACACGCATTAATGTTAAAACACAGAGTTGAGCAAGTGAATATAAACTGTGGGGGAAAGAGGCAAGGAAGGAAGTTAGACTGAATCCTGACAGTGAAAGGCTACTGTAGGAAGATAACAGGAAACTACCTTTATAATCCAGGAGCAGGAAGGATGCCTTAAACTGGACGCCCAAAGTGCTAACAATAAAGGAGAAGACTGACCCTTGAACATGGTGAGGGGAGGGCTTTCGGTGGTGCCAACCCTCCCTGCTGTGGAAAATTCCTGTGTAATTTCACTGCGGGACGCCCTCATATATGCGGTTCCTCCATGTCTGTGGTTCCACATCTTCAGGTTCAACTGTCCAGAGATGGTGCAGTACTATAGTATTTTCTATTGAAGAAAGTCCATGTGTATATGGGCTTGCACAATCAAACCTGTGTTGTTCAAGGGTCAGTGTACTAGACAACATTAAAATGAAGAACATCTGTGCATTGAACACATTATTATGAAGGTGAAAAGGCAAAGCACAGATTGGAGGATACACACACACACACACACACACACACAAATAGATTATATATACTCAATAAATTATCCAGAAGCAAAATGGGCAATACATCTGAACAAACACTTCACAAAAGAGGAACTCCAGCAAGGCCATAAACATGAAAGATGCTCAACCCATTAGGACACAGGGAAATGCAAATCAAACCTCAGTGAGATACCACTACTCAAGTGCCAGAGTGGGGAACATGTTTCTATTTCTGTTAATTCCAAGTGAGTTGAAGATGTGTGCACTTGTGCAGGGAGATGCTGGTAAAGAAAGTTCACAGCTAAACATCTGTAATATCTAAAACCCAGAAATAACCTATATGTCCATTAATAGTAAAATGGATGTTTTTAAAAACTGATATATTCATCCAGTGGAAACCTCTGCAGCAATGAGAGTAAGCAAACTACAGTCACGTGAACCAACACGCATTAATGTTAAAACACAGAGTTGAGCAAGTGAATATAAACTGTGGGGGAAAGAGGCAAGGAAGGAAGGGAGCTTTAGCAGGGCCTTGTGACCCAGAAGAGCGCAGGTTGACTTTTGCCGGCAGTGTTGCCTGCAACAGGGGTTCAAATGATAAAAATTTTGGACTTTCTTGGTGGTCCGTGGTTAAGAATCCACCTGCCAATGCACAGGAAATGGGTGTAACCCCTGGTCCGGAAGGATCCCACATGCCACGGGGCAGCTAGACCCGTGTGCCACAACTCCTGGGGCCTGCCCACCGCAGAGCCCGTGTTCCACAGCAAGAGAAGCTGCGACTAGAGGTGCCCCTGCTCCCTGCAACCAGGGAAAGCCTGCGTGGAGCAGCCAAGACCCAGCACAGCCAAGCATAAACAAACAGAAATTGGAACCTGCACACTTACATTGTATGCCCTTCTCTCAATGTTTGATTTCACAACAAAAGGATTTAAAATTTTAAATCTGAAATATTACAGCATTGCATTGTTTAAAAATATAGGGTATGTGCCTCTTGACAAGAGTATTTTCTTATAGCCTTGAGGGTTTTGCAATGTAGGAATACATTTCATGGAAGCAAGAGTTTTCAAAGGTGTTTCTCATTAGTGATCTGTACACCAATATTAAAAAGTTTATATAAACAGGCTCTACCCCACCAGAAACTTTCCTATGATAATCCAAAGATACATTCCATCTACACAAACTCCTTTTTATAAACCATGTTTAAAATTAAAACTTTTAGTTTAAAAAAAAACAAAAAAAGTTTCTGTTTGGGTTTAAGTGGTTTGTTCTGGAAAACACATTTGGCTTTTACCACTTTTGAACACAAAAGTAAAAATAAACAAATGGGACTACATCAAACTAAAAAGCTTTTGCCCAGTAAAGGAAATTCATCAACAAAACAAAAAGGCCACTTACTGAATGGGAGAAAATATTTGCAAATGGTATATACAATTATGGGTTGAGGAGGCCTTACAAATAGCTGTGAAAAGAAGAGAAGCTAAAAGCAAAGGAGAAAAGGAAAGATATTCCCATTTGAATGCAGAGTTCCAAAGAATAGCCAGGAGAGATAAGAAAGCCTTCCTCAGCAATCAATGCAAAGAAATAGAGGAAAACAACAGAATGGGAAAGACTAGAGATCTCTTCAAGAAAATTAGAGATACCAAGGGAA